CTTTCCAGTTAAATGGATTCTACCTTAATAACTCCGATATTTCCATAAACAGACAAACAGAACAGTGCTTACATCTTTTGAGTATTTTCATCATATGCCAGGATTTTGATAACTTCCCAGTTTCCTGATGTCAGGTGTCTCACACTGATTTGTTCACTTTTAGCCTGGAGAGAGATGGAAAATATTAACTTTCACCTTGTTACATTTTTCTTTGCCTAGCAGGATTGTCTGCACATCATAACTGATTACAGCTTTTTAAACTTTAATGTGCAACATAACATCTATAAATCACAAACCTCACATTTTGACAGGCCTGAACTTCTAAGTATCCTTTCCCTCCCACGCATAAACTTTTCAAAGTCATTAAAATAATCTCAGTTTCACAGTTTTTCTTTCAGTTGCCCATATGCCAACAGACAGCAGAAGTCTTGCACTTCAAGCTGAGGATCTTGTCATACACCTATTTTGTTTCTCTTAGTGCTTCTTTTCCTTTACAGTGCCATAGCAGGGGAATCTGACTCTGACCTCTGTAACCAAGTGTGCTCACCAAGCTTTCATGTTTATCACGTGCTTATACCGAGCCAAGTTTACTGCAAAGATGCTTTGCCAAGACGAGACATCAATATCACATTCATCTGAGGAGGCAGGCAAACGTCTACAAGAAGCGCACCACAGAAACTCAGACACAGAAATTCACAGGATCTAAATCTAGTTAAAGTCCCTGCTCCACCATGCACTCTGGAGAAGCCTCTCTTTATCCGGGATCTATAAAGGGAGTCTAAGAGAAGATCCAAATTTTGGCAACTGAACCAAATGCTTACAAGTCGGGGAGCACCCTTTGCTCCCTCCCATAAATTGTTTCTATCCCAGTGTTAGTCTAGAAAAATAACTGCTACAAGGGGAAATTCAAAACCTCTCCTGAAGAATGTGATGCCAGATTTCTCAGCTGCTGCACCAGGAATTGAATCAGGAAACACCAGGATGCAATGCCTATCCACCTTCAGGTAAAAGCAAACTCTTTGTCTGGCAGTTGCAGCAGGCTCCTCATGACACACAGATTAAAAACAACGAAACCTGAAGAGTGAGAAGCTCATTTGAGAGCGCTTCCTAGTGCAAAAGGTAAAATTGTGGCTTAGGCCACTGAAGATTAAAACTTCAACGCTCACTATAACACAGCATGAACATACTTAAAGTGTTTTTTCTATACTAGGGTTATGATGCTTGGCATGGACGTAAAAACTCTTATTTTTCAAATTCAAGACAAATTTTGCAAAGAAAAGAGGTGATACATTAGCTTGTATTTCAGCTTTAGTGGGTGAAACTGAGCAGCAAGATTTACAAAGGAGGTGAGATGGAGGATCTAATGGTGCTTTCTGGCCTCACGCCCTGTGAATCCAAAGCACCAGTCCATTCCTAATCACAGTGGCCTCAGTGTTTATGTGGCCTACAAAAAGTCATAAAGGTTGGGTTTTTTTTAATCCCTATATTTCTGAACTGTACCCTGTAAACTCTGAGCTCTACATCAACAGCAGCAATAACTACAAAGCAGAAAATGCTCAAGAACATCTATGAGACATGTCCGGAATCGGCAAGGCAGAAGTAAGCCCCTTAGAACTGATCTGTCTTCTAACAGATCCACAAGGAAAGAATGATGTAGTAACTCTATGACAAGTCTGGCAAGTACCAACTGAAATCAGGATGTTGTGCTAGGTGCTGTACACATGTTTATGATGAGGGTTCCCTCATTCAGGAAAGTTCTGATACTCATTGCTGTCTCCAGGAATATTTAAAATACAATTTAGTGATTTATTAGAAGTGACTATTTCTCCTCTAGAGACAGAGAAGCTGCGACTATTGAAAGAGATATTTAAATATTGAGATCACAGAATCTAACAAGAAACAGCAATAAAAAGCCCAGCCAAGCGTTAATAAACATGGTTATTTTTCAAGGTTACAGCCATAATACATAATTTATGAAGCTTGCAGGAAGTTCTTGCCTTGATCCATTAAAGTTACTTTATCGTTCTTATTTTGTGGTTGGAAAAAAGACTTTCTAGAGCTGCAAAACCCCATGTAAGAAATTTCTGGACACATAACACATGATTCAATCCCATTTTGAGATTAGTTTCTTTTAAATATTTCATCAGTTACTAAAAGCATTTGAAAACAATAAAGTGCACACCAGCCCACTACATTCCTACAGTAAATAATATATGATAGTAACCTTTTAAACAGTGACCTCCCCTTGTGAGAAGATTTAATTAGATGCTTCTACTAACTCACTTTGATTATCTTATTGACACATGCTTTTCTGAATTACACTCAAAGAAACGCAGCCCAAGACCATCATTGGTCAGTACTTGCACTGAAGATTGACAAACAAACCTCAGGGATTAATGACTCTAAAGCAAGCCATTAAAATCTGCTTCTTTGTCACTGTACGTTCATTTTGGTTCTGTGTTTTAACTTTCCTGCACGTGGAGGCTGATTTCTGCTACTGAGCTGATACCTACATAGAGAAGTAACAAGAATCTGAGCGCCAAATTCCAACGTTAACCGAGCTCCATCATGAAAAAAATGTGATCGTCTGGGTACCAGAGACCTGCTGACTGCTTTAAATTCTGCAGGGCACTTGTTATGCCACTGTAGCTCTCACAAGGTGTGACAAACATCTGATGTGACAAAAGACTTTATGTGCAACGGTTAATATAATTTTTATGCCTCCATGTTTGCTTTAGAAATAATGGACAATCAGATTAATGCACTGTGTAAAACACATCATATAAACGCATTTCCTGTCCTTTATTGCTCTGTATCAGCCCCATTACCACGCAGAATGTTGGTTATTGATGAATAATGGTTCATACATGGGATATCACCTTTCCTCTTCTTTTCAGGAGCAGCTATATACTTAAAGCTAAATTTGTCATTGGTGACACCATTCAGACTTGTTTATTCATGGTGACGGTGGTCAAAATAGAAGTATATTTGAAGCTATGCAGCACCCAGGGCTCAAATTCTGCCTAAAAGGGATAAAATACTGAACTCTTAATCATAAACTTGACTTTAAACATTATTCTGGTGAGATTAAAACATGTATTTAAGAATAGGTATATTTATTTATATTAATATATTATTA